AAAGCAGAGTGTAGCAAAATGGACATCTGCAGCAGACTGTGATTCGCCTGATTATTTTTCTCATTTTACTGCATGCTGAGATACTGCTTTGGCACCTGTCTTCACATGCGAATAAAGTGAATTTTGGTTCTGCTGCACAAAAACTGTCAGTGAAGAGACTTTTACAAAACCGCTGAAACTGCTGAAACTCAGTAAATTAATCAGTTTCAAGAAAATGTCTCAAGAAGTTTAATTTATTTTAGGCCGGTATTGCCAAACATTTGATGAGTTGTTGCTTTTCGTGATGTTTATCTTCTGACTTGCTCTAAATAATTATCATTTGTCCTTCTGACTGCTTTTTAGGAATAAAATACGCTATTTAGATACATCGACTAAAGATTGTTATGTATATATTTCAACAGATTACTTGAATCCAATAGCTGGAACTTCACTGAAATTTAAGTTGGTGCACGCTTGGACACCACATCAAAAAAAACTGTCAGATTTTCACATAATCCAATGAATATTTAAAAAAAAAAAAAACATGAGTAAAAGAAAGTAATTTTGTAAAAAGGAGTTACAGATTCCACGATAGCGTTCACAAGACACTGGAGTGGACTTGACATATTCATCAGAGGTTTGTTCAAGTAAATCAAATACTACTATCAACTAAAACTACTATTGGTTAATGCAAAATAGAAGGATTCACTAGTAATCTCAGACTTTTCAACCCGACTTGCACATGAAAAGTTAAACTTTTAATCATTACACACCAGCTGGTATTTGAGGTATGGGAGAAAGAGAGTGTGGGGACCTGTTAAAATACATTTCTTAAAAAGGACTTGAAAATATTCAAACCATGAGTGTGTCACTTTGAACAGGTTGTGAGCTTACCGTAGTGTAGTAAATGATGACATCACTGCTGGTCATATTGCCATGGAGAATGTGTTCTTTCAGGTGCTGGATGAGCGAGCCCTAAAAAGACAACAAGTATTAGATACTAACGAGTAATCTAATGATCTAATGGTGGATTTATCTCATTATTATCTTTCAGTAAAATTTAGTTCATTTGAGCTGACACAAATTTGACACGTGTCACTCATATTTAAAAAAATTCTATGCAACAGTTCTGACAAGGCTTCGACACATGACACTTTATTTTTAGACTAAAAGGGAAGTTTGTGGTTAAGTGTGAATTATCTTACAATCTCCAGCATATCACAGCTGGGTGCATTATTATTGCTGGTGAAGGGTACGCAAGTATCTGCCCGTGTATTTCGGTTTTGAGCCCATCCTTACAAAGATACAGGTGCTCCAAGCATTCGTGTGTGCATATAGTCTTTAGCTGGACTCAGCTGCCATACCCATCCTTTGGTGCGTGCCATCTTGTTACTGACAGCATGTTAACAGAGCCGTAACAAAGCAGAAAGCACAACAGTACCCAGGCTAATTGGCTGAGCCAGAGAGGACTGCCAGCGTCACAGTACGAAATGTTTTCACCAACGCATTACTGTCCAATTATCGGCTGCAAGGGGAGAAAGGGGGGTGGGGGGTTGGGGGGCAAAGGAAAGAGAAGGGGACAGAGCGAGAGACAATAAGGGAAAGAAAGAAAAGGAAGCTATACTGTAGGAGAAAGAAGGGAAAGCAGAGGAAAACTAACCTGATGAGCATCTTAAAAGAAGAAGTAAGAAAAAGGAATGCAAGTTTAGAGCATAAAACCAATGTGAAAGGAAGGTGAGAGACTAAAAGCCAAGTTGGAAGCAGCAAAAGGACGAAAGGAAAAAAACTGGGTGCAGAGAGGCAAAGTATGAGCCCATTAAAAATCTAATTGAATTTTTTTCTTTTTTAAGAACCGCGCAGCTGTGTCTCAGGTGGTAGAGCGGGTCATCTACTAATCGGAAGGTCAGTGGTTTGATCCCTGGCTGTCAAGTTGGCCTTGGGCAAAATACCAAACCCTAAATTGCTCTTGATGCACCCATCAGGGTGTGAGTGTGTGCATGACAGGTAAAAGCCTTTAAAGAATAAAGTGCTGTTGGAATGTGGCTTGTAGTGTACCCGAGCCCTCGGTAAGAATGCTCGTTACCTTTCACATTCTCTCAGAGTATGCTTTCCATTTCTTCTGGTCCATATGCTGAGCCTAACTCACTGTTGTATTCTTATGTCGCAAATATTTTATTACAAGATAACGGAAAAAGTCCTAAAATAAAAAAATCTGTTTTTTGGGGGAGACTTCCCTCAGACAGATAGAGTGCAAGACCAACTGTTTAGTGAAAATGCATGAATGCATTTGTTTGAGTGGGTTAAACCTTTTGAAATGGTGAGTGCTCCAGCTTTCCAAGTCCAGTGGTCCTTTTTGAAATCAAATATTCTTCTCACACTAGCCCTACCTCTGATGTGGTGTGTTGCAGGGAAATGTCATTCATGCACTCTCTGGAGAGCAAGTAACCTTTTCTAGGATCTGCTGATGGAGGTCTGCTGCCACCTTGTGTTGGGAAGCGGAATGAAACGACAGACCACTTCAGCAGATGTCTTACTGGAGCTGCTTTGTTAGGATACTAAAAGTGATCTCAGTAAGATGTTCAACAGCATTAAAAAATAATAAATTGGATTAATGCCCTTTCAAAAAAGAACAATACAGATAAGACCATGAAGTAATCTGCACTCACACAATGAATATCATAACATTAATAAACAGGTTTTTTCTCATATTAAGCAGGATGTGTGTAATCACGGACATTTTATTTCTATAGCACACATCACAAATCATCCAGCAACTAAATGATTTTTTTTTATTCTGTTTTCAAGGTTGAAAATTAGCTTCAAGACTCAGCATAAATGAGAAATGCTTTCAATGTTGACAAGATGGAAATCCAGCAATCCATAATCTCATGACAACTGGGCATCAATCTGCAATCTGCTGACTGATGCGCTGATGTTTGACTAATGATGATGTGATGTTTTACTGATCAAATGCTTCCTTAAAATTTTCCCTATTTGTCTTCTTGAAAACATTAATCTAGTCTTTTAGAGAGGATCAGACTCTTTACACATGGGTCAGCCCAGGAGAGCTTTGCAAACAGATGTGACCAGAGTGGGTTTTTTCTAAGTAAGTGAGACAGCTGCCTCTGCCTCTACCCCTTGTGGAGCATTAACAAAGCATGAGCTACAAAAACAGCAATTATGTTTTATGTTATACAAGGACAAACAAGCATACACAGCAACCCATGGGCTTTAATCAGTGATGGCATTGTGATTTTTTTTATTATATAAAGTTATCAGCCGTGTGCTTGTGTTTATGTGTGTGAAAAATACCGTGTATTTGTGTATTCAAACTAAAGACTTTTAATTCAGAGCAAGTGCAAGCCATTGTGTTTCTTACCCCAGCAGAGTGGACCATACATTTAGGAGCTCCTGTGGTTCCAGAGGAATACATGATGAAAAGAGGATGATTGAAGGGAAGCTGCTCAAATTCCAACTGAGGGAACTGGTCACCCTCGCCACGCCCAGATGCCAAAAAGTCATCCATAAATACACTGTGAAAAAAATAGACGTAAAGCATGTCTCTTTTTGTTTCTCAGTTTAAAAACAGTGTAATTATATTTACAGACACACACCTGTTGGGGATTTTGGAAAGGTCAGTTTCATGTTTGGTGCGAGCGTAAGGAATCACAATGACTTTCTGCAAGTCTGGCAAACCTAGAAGACAGAGCGAAAAAGGCTAATGTTTTATATTCTCTTTCATCCTCAAACACAGTTAAAGTCAGCAAGTTGCGCAGAAATTCTGATTTGTAATTACTGTCAGTAAACATACATACATATGTATATATATACATAATTTGCTGGTAAATGTCTTTCTCCAATGTGAAAACCAACCTTTCACAACACTAATTAGCTTTTCCTTGTGGTCGTGTGTTTTCCCATTGTACACTACAGCAGCAACAGAGAAGATCAGTTTAGGCTGAATTTGAGAAAACCTGTCAAGGACACCCTGGAAAAAAAGAGAAGGACAGAGTTCAAATTTAGGAATTTAACAAATATACATAAAACCCTTATTTCTGAGAAAAACACACACCTTCCAGAGAAAAAAACAAACATATAAACAAACAAAGAAACCCCCTAGAATAATAATGGAATACAATAATAAAATAGAATAATAACATACATAATAAAATAAAAACATTTTATAACAAAAAGGAAACAAGAGTAGAGCAGAATCCAAATCCACAGGTTTGTTTCATGGTAGCAATGGTAATTCTCTGATCTGCCAGTAGGGGGAGTAGAAGCTCAAAAAATACCGAGACCAAAGGCAAAAAAAAGTCTCTCAGGAAAGAAATCTCAAAGGCAAAGTTTACTCCCCGATCCTCCAATATGAGCAGATGAAAGACCAAGAGGAAATATAATACAACAACCCTAATACTACTACGGGTATACTACTACCTAACTTACATCCACAAATATATAAACTACATCTAAGATGTCAGATTAAATACAGCTGGTTTATTACAGCTTTAATACATCCATCCATCCATCCATTCGCTTCTCCTTTTCAGGGTCGCGGGGGGCGCTGGAGCCTATCCCAGCTGTCATAGGGCGAGAGGCGGGGTACACCCTGGACAGGTCGCCAGTCTGTCGCAGGGCCAACACACAGAGACAGACAACCATTCACTCGCACATTCACACCTAATGGCGATTTTCCAATTAACCTATCCCCACAAGCTGCATGTCTTTGGACGGTGGGAGGAAGCCGGAGTACCCGGAGAGAACCCACGCAAACACGGGGAGAACATGCAAACTCCACACAGAAAGACCCCGGCCTGATGTTGGAATTGAACTCAGGACCTTCTTGCTGTGCGGCAACAGTGCTAACCACCGTGCCACCGTGCTGCAGAGGGGAAATAAAAGTCCGACTCAAATATATATAAATTAAGAAATAAAGGAAAGTCCTTACATTGACTCCAAAGTCAACAGATGTTGAGCTCCAAATAGCTCCGATGCTGGCTGCTGCTAACATTGCCTCCACTGCGTGGATACCATTGGGTAGGTAGCCTAACACGGGAAGAGAGAGGAGGATAATACAGTTCAGTGCAGAATTTTAAATAAAGGTTTCCTTATTTAAAAATTTGCATGAAAATGATGACTTTTAAAAATATAAAATATAAAAAAGTAGTAAAAGTAGACAGTAACTCGTTTAGAACACTTCAGAGACAGAATGCACATAGATTAATCTGATTTCAAAGCAGCAAAAATTAGCTTTGTTTGTCAAGTTCTGTAGTCATATGCTATCCAAAATTAGTACAATAAAACAGCTGGGCTTTTGTAGTCTTATCTGTAGTCATACTGAAAAACTTCACAGTCAGTTCACATAGAGGGGGAAACTTAAATGACAGAATATTGGAAAACATCAAAGAAATGAAGAAGAAACACATGTAGAGAGATACACTGAAATAAAACAATCTGGATACAAAGAAGAGCGAGGAAATACTCTGGCATATTTCATTCTTAACAAGTAGAACTGAGACCATAACTACTGTCTTGCAGTGACATATTCCCAGATCAATAAGTGAAAAGGGTGACCAAGGCAAGCACACAGAGAAAAGTAAGGAATAATTAATTTTGTGTTTTTGGGACAATCCCACTGTAAACTGTTCAAATTAACTTCCCTCCAGCCTCCAGTCATCATAAAAGTTCAGAAAATTACCAAATCTACTGCATTTGATTTTTGGTGATCAATGTTTCATTTGAGCAGGAAAAAAGTTAGATCATTATGACATGCATGACAAAGTAGCAATAAACGCATGACTGGAGCTACCGTGCTACCTTTAAACATAGAGCTGTTCATAATGTGTCTTATCTAAACTAATAAAACATAAAACAACCGGTAGTTCCTGCTAGACAAGCTGACAAATAGCAACTATATTGATAATCTCTATGTATAAATTGATTTTTATGGTTGTTATGCATACTCTTGCTGCAACAAGGATGCTGATACTGCCTGATAACATCTCGGGCTGACAGATCACCACCCTGCTACGCTGGCTCCTAGACTATTATCTCCTTACCTTAGCCGGGAGCAAATTACGTCACGGATCATATTCTTACTACAAAATCCTGTTTGACGACCTCTGTGGCTGTTATTAAGAAAGACTACTTTGTTACACTGTGAGAGTATTGCTTACGCGTCAGTGTAACACACTGCCCTACCAGTTTATTCATGCATGCTAAGCTGTCAAGTATACGTGCATGTTGGCAATGAATTAGAGACTAATTTCTCCTCATGTTGACAGTAAGCACTTTAGTGTGATCCAGTTGTTTAACCACACTGGATACTAGAATTCGATGATGCTTTCTTTTCTAAAACAAAAGAATTATTTAAGTAAATACCTGGGTAAAACTGAAAACTATATACTGAATACAGCCTGCAAGGTTTTAAATAAGCTGGGAATTGCTGAGTGAAGTGATTCCCGTTTTTAAGTTTTGTAGGTAAGTGCTTTTTAAATTCATTTTATTGCATCAAGGCTTTTTGACTTTGTCAGGAGTCTCAAATTAAACTTTATTTAAACAAAACAAAAAAGAAAAGAACAATTTCATTAAATTATAAAATCCTCTGATGAAAATTAGGATATTTGTGTTGTCGGTTTTGAACCAGTTATAATATAACACTACAAAAAAATAAAAGTGCTAAAACTGAAATCATGAACACACTCTGAGCTCACCAACACTGTCAGAGAGAAGTTAGGGGCTTCTCTATTTACCTGTTTGTCTCCTTCCCTGAACAAACAGCCCCCTTTATCCCCACTGCCTCACTGAAAATGTCCAGATGGAAATGTACAGATATGTAATGTACGGACCAACTCAGTTTAGTTGGTGACTTGCAGAGTACAAATCTCCAGGCTGTAGCATTCAAAAATAAGAAGATTTACAATAAATCAAGCTCTGGATCATATCTTCTGCATCAACAGCAATATGGATGACCCTCTTTCTGAGAAGGACGACGACTTAGATAAATATAGATACATCTGATAAGGAGGTAACAGGTGCTGAAACTGCTCCTGCTTCTGCTGAAACATACAAATCCAAAAGTGGTTATATCTTTTGGAGTCCAGTACCTCCTGGCTTACATGGCAGGGCAACAGCTGCAAATGACCCCTGGCATTACCCAGTTTGCTGTGACAAGACATGTTTTGATCGGTTTAAGCTATTGTCACCAAAGAAAGTCACCACTGCTATCACAGACGTTGAAGGAAAAAAAGTCAATGGCGACATTTAGAATGACAGTGATGATGAATACTTGAAGCAAGGGCTGTGCGATATGACCGAAATCTCATATCCCGATATAAGACATTTATCGTCCTGACAACGATATAAATCACAAAAATGTAACATTTTCTGTAAATTCTGCGAATCACCGACAGCTCGACTTGCGTGAAGTGTTTCCAGCTGGGCGTCATGTAGCTGGAGTAGAGTGTTTTAACTGATGCATGATGAAACTATGCATTTTTAGACATAAGTTATAACGGCCGCCGTTTTCTTTGTGAGTATTTATTACACGGTGTACTGTGGCGAAAGGCCTGTTCTAACGTTTGAGTCTATTTTTTAGCACTTGACGGCTCTTTTTTGCTTCTCATCCGTAAATTCTCTGCATACTCATTCACATGATTCAGTTTATTTTGAAAAGTCTCAACAGGATCTTGAGCTTTATAGTGAAAGGTTTACGTGGAAAACAAACAAGCGGACGGCGGAGCCACGCGATGGTTTTACCATCGTTGTTGCTAACGACAACACGTAAAAACAGGCGCTTGTCCGTCTGTAGTGTGGTTATATTAAATATAAGAAAGAAAGAACTTTAAGAAATTAATATAGCCACTACAGTTGCGATCAAAACGATGAAAAGATATTGCTGTAAACAGTTTATTTTGCAACAACACGAAATTAACGATAGCGTGATAGGAAACGATAGACATCATCCGATATATATCGTTATATCGAACAGCCCTAACTGAAGCCCTATACTGGTGTTCCTTTTGCTGGAATGTACAGATCCAGCAACGACACCACTGATAATCACTGGGACACATCAACAGGCAGAACTATCTGGTCTTTAAGTTTGAGTTCATTAGCTGTTTCCGGGTCCAAACTCCGCTTCAGGTTCCAAAGTCAAATGAACACTGCAGCATCACTGAGAGTTACAAACTGTCTTTCATCTTTAATAAAAATGATCAGTGAGGCTGCTCTACGAGGTGTAACGATCACGTTTAACATCCAGGCATCCTCGAAAACAGAATTTATGAAATTTAACGGAGTTAGACGTTAGCAGGGAGTTAGCTCGCTAGTCTCCACCCAAACATAACATACAATGATCTGACTGAGGGATTTCTTAAAAAATTAAAACGTACAGCTCTGATATTGTTTCCAGCATAAATGAAGACAAAAAACTAAACAACAGTGACGTTCTGTAGGGCTACTAAAGTTGGGGTAGCTGGTCTATAATGATGTGCTACATGGTGGATAGCTACACAGCTATGGTAAGCATTAATACAAACACAGTGAAGCATGAGGATGAACATTAACTTTTTTCCATTCACTAAAAGTTAACGTGAGGGTTCCTGATGGTCAGGGACAAATGTAATTGCATGGCAGGAAAAGATGCTGTAAACGGACTAAACTTCAGTCGCAGAGAACAACTGAGATAATCATCCACAATACGAGGTCATTCATTTACTGCTGCATGGGCTGCGCTGTAGTTACATGGTAAGGTTTTAAAAACTGAGCTTTAAAATGAATAGTGGTAATAAAAACCACGAGAGGCCAACGATGATTACTGACTTTTTTTAGGGGCTTGTTCAGGTTAAATAGAACAAGATACAGAGCATTAAAACATGTTAAAAACACAACAGCCTTAATAAACGCAGAGTAGTTTGGACCCAGAAGCAGTGTTCATACATCATCACTTAAAGACCAAATTTTCCAGGCAACAATATCACTTCAGACCTTTTGAATAATATCAAGAGTCCTCAGATTTTAGAACAGCGATACTAGAGCAACATCTGACAAGCTTGCTCACATTAGGGATATACGGAAGAGATGGATCCAGCTCCTTTCACTGATGTTCAACCCAGGGCCAGAGGTGACAGTAGATGAATGTTTTGCCCCTTTCCATGGAAAATGCTCCTTCTGGCAATAAATGCTCAGCAACTCAGGCAAATATGATATAATGTGATGCGATCAAAAACCAGCTATGCATGTAATGCATGTAAAAGAGGACTGGAAGTTTTGGAAAAGGCAAACCTTCGAGTGGCATTCCTTGAGAAAATTAAAGGAAAACGTCTAGTCCTTGATAAGACTACTGGACTGCAGGGGTCACAATATCACATGTAACAATTTGTTTGCCATCTATGATGTTGGACAAGTCCGGAGGAAACGTACCATGGTGAGCAAAATAAAAACACAACAAAGCAAAACATTTTAAATCTGAGCTGCCCCCTGAAATTTTGCAGCTAAAGGACACCACTCCACTTTCTTCAACATGTGTTTTTATAGACACCAACACTGGTGTTTAATATTGTCCAAAACAAAACATTTAAAAAAAAAAATAAAAAAATAGAAACACTTTTTTTAAAACCCGTTTCTTAAAGTAAATACGCACGAGTCAAAATTGATCTGTAAAACCAGAGATGTTACTATAATTAACAATAATAAAATAAAAATAAATAAAACAAATTTTATTTTAGAGATGTGATCTAATACTTCTCAGTAGTAGTAAGGTAACATAAGAACCTTTTATTTTTTTAATATTAATATTAGTATTAAAACCAACCAAATTAAAACCAAACTATTCTTGGACAGGAAGTCTAACGGGGTAGCCAATAGCAATTTTTTTAAACCTTCTGTTTGTTTTAGCTTAATACATAAATGCAACTACACTGCAATTGCTAGAACTGAAACACACTTCTTCTCCGTATACTTAGTTTAGTTTTAGTATGTGTTTAAATAACACAAAAATCGAAAGAAGTAGCGGCTGAATGGCGGTCAGGCAAGATAGGGGCTTTTTAACAGAGTGTAGGATTATGCTGAAGTTAAAGTGACCAAGGAGAGCAATGAAAAGCACATGAAAGGGAGAATACATGTGTGTGTGTGTGCGGGTTTGGCCCAGGGTCCACTATAAAGCATGCCAGGCTTCATCAGCTAAGTGCTTATATATCTTCTGGATTACAGACACTGACAAGACATTTCAGTCACAACTTGGGGGACAAGGACATTTCTGTCTTAAACACTTTGAACACACACACACACATACACACACACGCACACACTCTTGTTTAGACATGCGAGGAAAGTAATTGGGATAAAGGAGTAAAAAGGAATGATGTAGCTGGTCTCTCTCCTTTTCCCTGTTTCTCTAGCCCCTCTCTGCCTTTCTCCATCCTTCTTGTCTTTCTAATGAAATTCCCACAGAGAACAGGTCATTTAGCTAATGGATCTCCCTACCGCAATATTCCTCTTCCTTCTGAACACACATAGCCAGAACCTTTCATATACACCCTGACCGTTCCTCCACAGAACCGGCTCAGAAACCAAACAATAAGCTCATAAACAGTCTTAGAGATTTACCACATTGTTGCCTTGTAACAAAAGCAGAAACCCCTCCTTGATTTACTTTATGACTTTGGATTCTAGCACCCTACTGACAATGGTCAGAATATTTTGTTACACATACTAAGATCTGAAAAATCTTAGCGTAACTGAACTCCCTGATAATACCACAGTATAGACATGTCAATAGACACTCATTTCCATGACATCTACCAGTCTGCCACATCCCAAACATCCCAAAGGTGCTCTATTGGACTGAGATCTGATCTGATGGTGAATAGAGTGAATTTACTGTTATGTTCAGACAGTTTTAGATTTTTGAGCTTTGTAATATGGTACATTATCCTACTGGATGCAACCATCATATAATGGGTACACTGTGGCCATAAAGCGATGGACACAGTCAGCAACAATACTCAGATATGTTCTGACATTTAAACAATCTTCTATTGTCCAATTTTTGTGAGCCCGTGCGAACTGCAGCCTTAGTTTCTTATTCTTAGCTTCCTTCTTAGACAGGAGTGGTACCCACTGTGGTCTTCTCTTGCTGTAGCCCAGCTGCTTCAAGGTTCCACGTTTTCACAGATGCTCTTCTGCATATCTTTGTTGAAATGAGTGATTATTTGACTTGCTTTGCCATCAGCTTGAAGCAATCTGACCAGTCTCCTCTGACCTCTCTCATGAACGAAGCATTTTCACCCACAGAAGTGACGCTCACTGGATG